AAATCACACTATTACGCTTGAATTAGATCACGCATAACTTTTTTGCTGGAAAATTCTCACCAAAATGCTGTTGTACTCTTGTAAACAATATAATTAGCTGTCACTGGAATAATTTTAACAGTTGTAGGACGAGTGGCTTAGAAATGACAGCAGTCTGAAGTTGGTTGCAGTTTTTTCATCTCACCCTGTATTGTTAGGCTTGGTCAAATTATTCTAATGTGCCAAATTGGGGTCAAATCAAATTTCGACAGGTATCGTTAGCACAATCCAGCCAGACAGACAGAAAAAATTTACACATGGACATCGTTAGACCGACTCCAAATGACCTCAAGCAGATTACATTCTAAGAAGTAAAGGGTCTAAAAAGTAAATTTCGATGAGTGGATTTATACCCTCTGTAGAGATTATTGTTATTTTTAGCATAGGTTTAAGTTCCTAACTTCGATATTCTTTTTATAATCATTCCTGGAATAATTATTTTGGTCTTGCATTTCCCAACGATGTTAGCTACCGACTGTCACTCACAATAGTCTTTTAATAACCTTGAGAATAATATGTCTTATTTTATGCATCATTTTTTCCATTTCTCTAGAATTACATTTATATTCTCCAACCATTAAACTGAAGAAAAGAAAAAACTTTTCTTACATTAACTAGTCTACTGCTTTAGTGTTTATAAGTATTTAATGATTTCTGCCTTCGTTTGTAGTTGTTGTTGTGCCCTGGGAGTCATAATAATTTCTAATATCATAAGACGCGCTGCCTTGGCAATATAACCTTGTCCAAGAAATGTTTAGCTCTTGAGAAAGCAATGACGCGCCATGGCTTTGTGTAAGATACATAAACTTCTGCTGCTCCTGTGGTGTAGCTACAAAGAAGCGTTTCATTGCGTATTTATTTGTCTGCCAGAAGACAAGTTCAACATTATCGCCTTCAACTTCATGGTCTAAGGTCATTAATAAAAGTTTTATTAAATGCGCTTGACACGAACGCCATGCACAGTGGTGTGTGTGTGGGTCAATACATATAATGAATGTATGAGGGCCTACATGAGAAAACATTCTTCAGTTTGAATGTGGTCTGTAGTGGCGATAGTGCGTCCTTTTCGTCTATATGATAACATGTATCCTTAAGTACAATATTCGAATATTTGAAAAGACATGTAATTATTCAATTGTCAATAAAATTATGAAGAAATTACTAACCTCAGCCTATTCATCTTGTATGGCTGCATAGCTCATGGCTACAGAGGATATAAATCCTTTGATTCCGCCAAAATGTTTGGCATGCATTTCAATCCTAGGTATCTATGTCTGGCCGTATCTATCAGGTGGTCACCATAACTCTTTAAACTCCTATTTGGTCTACACTTGGCACATCGTAATGTTTTTTACCACACTCAGATCTTGTTCGGAAATTCTAATAAATATTCAAAATATAATTTGTAACACATTTAAATGGATCCACGTATAGCCCCCATATAACTGTACCTCCCTTTGTTCCCTATTTTAATTTTAGCTTTTGATAACTTTAGCGTCAATTGTTTCAAATATCGTAATGATAGTTCGTAATGGGTACTTCAGCCTGTGAAAGAAAATTGGCTATGCCGGTCTACTTCTTCGTGTATCCCCCATATAACGGCACCTATTGATATTCGGAATTTCGATGATTTTTAGTAATATTATTCACCGGAATTGTTTCAAATTAGGTATTTGAAGTTCATAATGGATACTACAGCCTATGACAGAAAATTGTCTGTGCAGGTCCACGTCTTCGTATAGCCCTCATATAACGATACCTCCCGATATTCGGCATTTTGATGATTTTAAGCGACATTATTCACCGGAATTGTTTCAAATTTCGTATTTGCTCTTCGTAACGAGTACTACATCCTGTTGCAGAAAATTTACTATGCAGGTCCAGGTCTTCGTATAGCCCCCATATAACGGTACCTCCCGATAGTCTATGAGTCTATGACAACAAATTGTCAATACAGATCTAGATCTGCGTACGGCCCTATATATCGGTAGCTCCCTAAGTTCGGTATTTTGATGATTTTAGCTACATTATTCACGTTTCAAATTTCAAATTTCATAATAAAAGATCGTGACGGGTACTAAAGCCGACGACAGAAAATTTTCTATAGAGGTCCACTCTTTCTTATAGCCCCTAAATATCGGTACCTTCCGATATTCGGTATTTTGATGATTTTAGCGACATTATTCACCGGAATTGTTCCAAATTTTTTATTTAAAGTTCCTAAAGAGGTTTAATGGCCTATGATAGAGAATTGTCTATGCAGGTCGACGTATAGACCCCAAAACGTGACAATTTTGAACGATAATACTTTTCAACATTTTTATACCCTACAACACTATGTGTTGGGGGTATTATACGTCCGATTGTAATGAATGTAATACCTCGAAATTTTGGTCCCCGACATAGGAAACTATCTATGGATCTTCCTATGTCGCTGAGCTGAGTCGATCTAGTTATGTAGGTCAGTCCGTCTGTCTGTCCATGTTAAATTTTAATCACGCTACAAGTCGCAATTGTGGCCCGATCCTTACGAAATTCAGTATAAAGGTGGGGTTAGGGTCAGAATTGGACACAACCGTTTTGGATAATATTTAGTGGTCTGAATGGACCAAAAACAGAAAATTTTCCTGAATTTACAGCTGCTCTACAGGTCGCAATTATAGACCAATCGATGCGAAATTTTGCATGGGACTAGAGTTTAGGGCGGGTAAATAAGACCATAACTTTTATGTGAAAAATATATACAAAATTTGCACTAAACGGCAAATATTTTTAATCTTGGCGAATTGGCCAATACCAGTCCAAATGACCTGAATTTTGACATATCCGACCAAATTAAGTCTTAAAGCAACTGCATCAAATATGTTTATATTTCATCCGATAGGTGCTTAAGTCCCTAATATTCGTAATATACGCACTACAAGAATGATGTTTAGCATCAGATACAGCCCAGAAATACTTCTGCCAAATTTTATCAAGATCGGTTCCGATTTGGTTTTACCTCACACATATATGTTTAACGGATTAATTTTATCCGATTTGGTGTTTAAGTCCCTCACATAAGTAATATGCATTCGACAACAATTATATTTGGTACCAGATATCAGATGCAGCCCAGATTTTATCTAGATCAGTTTAGATTTGGATTTAGATCCCATATATATACTTAATACAATTTCAGGTTTATTGTGCAAATAATGGCTAATATCAGCCCAAATGGAATAAATTTCGGGACGTACGCTCCATTTTGTCGAACTCGGCTTCCATATATATTTTTTGTTTTAATATAATCTTTCTCGAAGTCATATCATGCAATGTTATTTGGTATAGAAGATTAAAAAGTCTCCGTAAAATTTAGTGAAAATCGATTCAGAATTGGATATGCCCTCCTCCCAAACCACAACTGCTCTAAAGCCAAATATTGCTAGGTGGTATGATCTACTTCAAATAAATTCTTCTGTTACGGGAGCTCTACTAAATATGCATAGTGGTGTAGGTTCCTTACTTGCACTTGGATTGTCAAACCTAAATCCCAAAAATTTTCGGGATCTTAGACCAGATTTTTTAATGTCTTTATATAGCCTTGACCATCTACAGCAGGACTGGAATATTTTGTAATACATTTCGCAGCACTTAATATAGATCTTTGGAAACTTATGAAGAAATTTGGAATAAAAAATTTAATTGGGTTTGGAAGTTTGAATTCCGAATAAAGTCTTATAATATGTTTTCGTTAAATTTTGAAATTTTGTTCTCTATGTTGGTATAAACCAATTTTTCAATATTTTCCATATAGATTCACGTTTTAGTGTAGTCCCATCATAAAAGTACCTCCTGGTTTTAATTATGTCGAGGGTATTGGTCACATATTCCGATTGATAGGTCAAGTAATAGGCACTGCTCCATTTCAGTTATTTCGAGGATCATGGCCACATTTCCAATAGGTTATTATGGACGTATAAAATTTTTTTTTAAAAGTTTTGAGTCCTCGGTCCAATTTTTCATTTATTTTTAGAATTTGTGTGTCCAAAAAGACATTTAGACCCCCATGTCTCTTTGGATCAAATCCGTTTTAGGATTATTCGATCATGCAAATGTTGGCCGTAACCAGCAATTAACACTCTTTGTAGTCTAAGGATGTTTACATGCTTCTTTCCTGAAACCACTGTTCAATGAGTTGTGTGTGCGCTGTTTAAGCAAGGACGACGATTTATTACAACCCATTCTAGTCGCTCCAAGTTTTATCCCCCACCAAACCACAACGAGAGCTGACATGATAACTACTCTGTTTAAGATTGCTACTTTACCTTTTGTCGCATTAGCTTGACTTTCCTGAGCGAACACCTTCGCTTCGCTGCAATATTGCTTGTGTGACTCGAAGTCAAGTTGATCTCCCCAGATATTCGGTCTAATGAAAACATAGTGTTAAGTGCTTAAACACAAAACTATGATATATTTAAAGACCATTTTAATATGTAATGCTGTGCTGTTTGATTATCTAGAAGTCGTTACTTGGGCTCCTATTGGAGGTTCATTTCTGCAAAGGTTGCTTGGTTTTGTGAAAAGACACAGCGAGTTGTGTGTCTTAAATGCTGATGAAATGAATTCAAATTTTTGGTGGGTGACAATGTGTCTGTCTGTGAAGACATTAACATTTCACTTTGATGTTTGCTTTTATTCAAGTTATCCTCTTGTCACCAATGACTTAAAGTGTATTAAAATGGGAAAGATATTGGGGTTAATGTTTTGAATTTTTGACTATTGGAGGAATAAAGAAGGCAACATTTTCGTACTTACAGAAGTGAATAGCCATACTAGACGATGCAAATAGCTAGGTTGGATCATAAACCTTTAAATAAAACAAAGCATATCAAAATTATTCTGAAGTTTAAATAAACCTTTTTTTGTCTTATATATCTTTTAGTATCGGTACAAAAAAAAAGAAACAAGTAACAATTATGTTAGGTTCAGTAATAACATTTAATAATATTAATCTGTTGCAAAATTATAAAAAATTGTTATTGCAATAATCAATATTTCCTTTATGATATTGAAAAGAGTTAAAATTGTTGCCATTCTGGAAGAAAAAAAAAAATAAAAAAATAAATAAAATAAAAATAAAATAATTAAAATGCTTGGCATCGGGAGCTAATGCTACATGTGTCCTAAATCGTGGATCTACATGGTGAGATAAAACAAAAAAACTGCAACAAAATCGAACGCCATAATTTTCACATTTTTATACCCTCCACCATACATAGTATGGAGTTCGTCATTCCGTTTGTAACTCATCGAAATAATAATTTTAGACCCAACAAAGTATATAAATTCTTGATCAGTGTAAGATTCTAAGACGATTTAGCAATGTCCGTCCGCCTGTCCGTCTGTTGAAATCACGCTACAGTCTAAACGAATTAAGATAGGAAGCTAAAATTTTGCACAGATCCCTCTTTTGTCTGCAGGCAGGTCAAGTTCGAAGATGGGATATATCGGTCCACGATATCGTATAGCCCCCATATAACGGTACCCCCCGATATTCGGTATTTTGATGATTTTAGCCACATTTTCTAATGGAATGGTCTGAAAATCCACACAAGAAGTTCATTGTGGGTACTTTATCCCTTGGAAAAGAATTATCTATATAAGTCCACGATATCGTATAGTCCCCATATACCAATGAAACCGCCACACGCTGCCCAAATGTTGCTCTGCGGTATTTGGCCCATTCCCGGCGAGGCGCTTGCTTGAGGCGATAGACACTTTGTTTTTTTTTTTGTACCAACCTAACTTTCCAAAATACTCCAGACACAATAGTCCAACGGGTTGGTATCCCGTGATTTTGGTGGCCGTTGTGCGCTGGAAATGAAGTGACGAACCTCATTTTGTAACCATTCTTGGATGGCGCGTGCTAAGTGCGATGGTGTTGACTCCTGTTGGAATGTCCAAGGTCTGCGGCCAAACTATTCGCGTGCCCAAGGCTTTAATACACCCTCCAAAATATTTTCGGGATAATATTCGGCATTTATTCTGATGCAACGGTCGGTCGATTAATACGAGCGTAGAGCGACCATTGGCTGTTATGGCGGCCCTCACCATCACCATGGCCGGCGCTTGAGTTCTGGTGGCCAACCGAAGAGGCACATTTTCAGCTGACGTCTTTGGCAGGTAAACACCATCATTTTGTTTGTTTACAAACTGCGGGACAACGAATGTTTCCTCATCGGAGAAAACAAAATTCGGCAGTTCATCACTTTCGGGCAAGCGAAGGAACTCTTTAGCTCTTTTGAGTCTGTTGTCTTTCTGTTGCGGTGTAAGTTCTTGCAATGTCTTGGAATTTCAATAGCTCATTTTCAATATCTGCCGAATAGAATATTGCGATATGTTCAGCTCACGAGACAGTTTACTAACACTGCGATGCGAACCATTTCTGCTGATGTTGCTGTTGTCTTCCGTCCACTTCCTGGACGTCGGGCTACGCTATCAGTATCACGATGACGAGCGATGGTACGAGACACAAAAGATTTATTCACATTTAAATGCTGGAGTGCTCTAGCGATAGCCACTTGTGGTTTTCCAGCCAAACATAAATAAATCACACTATCACGCTTGAATTCCATCACGACTAACATTTTCTCTGGAAAATTCTCACCAAAATGCTTTTGTACGCTTGTAAACAATATAATGAACTGTAACTGGTATAATTTTAACAGCTGTTGGACCAGTGGCTTGATAATGACAGGAGTCTGAAATTTGTTCCAGTTTTTTCATCTCACCCTATAGGTAGGTCTCCTTTCCAAAATCTTTCTCAAACTTATTTCTGATCCGGGTGTCTGGCAATTTTAGTATTCCAATCACAGTTTGAGTAAGTATTAGTGATAAATGTATATTTTCTTGAATGTGCCTTAACAGAAAAGTCCAGGAAAAATTTAGCAGGCGTATGTGTCACTTCCAAACTTTATTAGCAATGATAACTTCATTTCATTCACAAAGCCAATATTCCAATGGGTATCATTATTAGCATTATCAGTAAGAAACAAGTAAAAAAACATTAAGTTCGGCCGGGCCAAACTTTTAATACCCTCCACCTTAGGGTAAAGGAAACATTAGAAGAAATATGGCAAAAACCATTAAAATGTCGAATATCGGGAGGTACCGTTATATGGAGGCTATATCAAATGTGTAGGTCCACGATTTGATATAGCCTCCAATGTTTCGCCAAAGGACTTAGAACACATTATGACCAACAAATTCCAATTTTCAGACAAATCCGTGAAGAAATGTGGAAAAATTCATCAAATGGGAGGTACCGTTATATGGAGGCTATACCAAAAACGTGGACCTATAATTGCAATGACTCGCCACACGAACTGGGACCCATTATGATCTACAACTACCAATTTTCAGAGAAATTCTTGAAAAAATGTGTCAAAAATCATCAAAATACCGAATATTGGGAGGTACCGTTATATCGGGACTATATCAAAACGTGGACCTATACATACAATGTTTCGCCACACGAACTAGGACCTATTATGACCCACAAATACCAATTTTTAGAAAAATCAGTAAAAAAATGTGGCAAAAACCATCAAAATACCGAATATCGGGAGGTACCGTTACATGGGGACTATACCAGAACGTGGACCAATACAAGCAATGTTTTGCCACACGCACAGGGACCCGTTATGACCTACCAATACCAATTTTCAGATAAATCCGTGAAAAAATGTGGCAAAAATCATCAAAATACCGAATATCGAGTAGTACCGTTATATGGGGGCTATACCAGAACATTTTCAATACCAACCATCCTAGACACAACTCAAATTGCTTTGCTAAATTTTGGCGCTCTACGTCAAATAATGTGGGTTGTATCGCGATATCAACAGACAGACATACAGACGGACATCGTTAAATCGACTTAGAATTTTATGCTGATTATGAATATATATACCTTATGGGGTCTACGACGAATATTTAAGGATGTTACAAACGGAATGACAAAGTTAATATACCCTCCTTTCCAAAGTGGAGGATATAAAAAAATGATTACATTTTTCAGATTTAGAATTGCTCCCTTAGATATCTCAATCCCATTCAATGTGCACCAAATGTGTAATACCAGTCAAAATAGAAGTACATATCAGGTGAATAGTATATATGAAGCTATACTTATGTTTGATCCGATTTCATATACGAGCTTTTGGGCTGTGCCAAAATTTCATCCTATTCGTGCAGACCGAGTCCTGCGAGATCTGTGCAATATTGGATATTGCTACCATATTTATCTTCGTCTGATTTTAAGGTTGTTGTCCGCCATATGTTTAATATCAGCCCAAATCGGACTAAATTTAACACAGCCTAAAGTTTCGTATACCAAATCGGATAAAATATATGAAAAGCTTCATATATATTTTTCACGTGATATGCACTCAATTGCAAATAAATACAATGCTAAATATCAAATGCAGACTAGAAATACCTTTGTCAAATTTTTTTAAAATCGGATCAGATTTTCACATGGATTCCATACATATTTCCCGTTTAATTTGAAGAAATGTATGTAACAATCACGTTTCGTTTGTAGTTGTTGAATTTTGGACCATACGATTAATTTCCGGCTAAAATAAAATCTGCCAAGTTTGGACCTAATCAGTTTAGATATAGCTCCATCAAATGTTGTGGAAATATATTTTTAAAGTTTCCATATATTAATGGCATGCTAAAAATGTATACTTCCTATGGGTTGTGGTCTCCAGCGACCCAGAGAATTTTTCCCTAAATTTAATCTTTTTTAATTTCTTTCTAATATTTTTAAGTCCATCTCCCTATAAATCTCAGGATCACTTTTGCATTGAAAGCTTTTCGAGTATAGTAATATGACTTACAACTGAATATCATTCTTGTTTAACTTTCTTTAATTCAAATTTTAAAAAAACAACATTTCAATGATTATACAATATGCAATACATTGTTGTAAATCTAGTTGCTTAACGTTTTATTTCCCATCCAGTAAAATTTTTCATTCCAAAAAAAAAAAAAAAATGGAGAAACTCAAATCTACATATTATGCTATCAAAATGTACTTCACATGACCACCAAAAAGGAAACTTTCAGTTTCATAATTTATTTATGGCAAAACCTAGAATGGATGAACGTTTCGCCTTCTGTGCCACACACACAAACACACAGGGCAGAGAGTGATGATGGCGGTTTGTTATGTTGCTGCAACTGTGGCTTAATGCAAGGACTGAGAGACAGTTAAGTAAATGTACATATGTGTGCATTTAGATATTTGAAACGAAGGAAAAGGTACCTTATGTAGTAGTTGGGTGTGACAGTTGTTAAACATACAAGGGTTTGAGGTCAATTTTGGATGGTATGTTAGTATAAGTGTATGAAACAAAGACTAAAGAAGGATACTTTGGAATTTTACTACCAGTAACTTTTCCCCATATTAATTAACTGTTAGGTTGACACTCTCTGGTACCTACCCCAGAATATTTAAAATCTTAAAAAGATGAATTAAGGGACATATAATATTAGCAATTAAACTCATCATAAACCAGCAAAGAAAGGTCAAAAGTCGGAAAAATTTTTGTAATGGGAATTTATGTGAAGTAGATCATGCCAACTATGAACCAAATCACATTGCTGTATAGTGCATCATGCACCCGAGATAAAGATTATATTAAACAAGTAAAAAAGCTGTAAGTTCGGCCAGGCCGAATTTTGAATACCCTTCACCATTTGGCACAAATTTGGCAATTTTCAAAACAATAAAATCCGTTAAAAATTCTGTTAGAGTCTATGCGACGACATGAACCTGCAAAGGCAACTCTTGTCATAACCTATTGCAATATTCAAATGCGAAACTTGAAAAATATCTGTTTATAATGTAGCTAAAATCAGAATACCGAATATAGGGAGGTACCATGGGGGTTATAAAACGTGGACCTGCACAGACAATTTCCTGGCATAGGTTGAAGTATCCATTACGAACTTCAAATGCCACATTTGAAACAATTCCGGTGAATCATGTAGCTAAAATCATTAAAATACCGAATATCGGGAAGT